AAAAAAAAGGACTGGGATGCAGCTTAGGGATAAAGCACTCAGTACCCCTACCTCAAAAAAAGAAAAAAAAATGATATATTACTTTATTCTCTATTCAGGAAATTGCTTTACCTGTCATTATTTCATTTTTACTGACCATTTATCCAATAAACTTAGTCTCATCATTCAGATAATTTGCCTGCCTTGTTAACAAATAATTAATTCTTAACATTTCCATCCATCCCAATTAGGAAGTTATAGAACTACAGACAAAAGGGGAAGAACACTGGAGGTAGAAGGAACAGTTTAGGTTATAGTACTAGGTTATGGAATAGAATAGTGTTTGAGGAACCACAAGAAGCATAATATTACCAGAGTCTCCGCAGTCGGGGGATGAGAAGGCAGTTGGAAAAGTTGAGGCTGGATTATAAAGGTCTATGTATGATATGATGAGGAATTTAAACTTTCAGACATTTAAGAGCTGGTGAAGGGAACACAAGGAAATGATAAATGCCAGCTCCTTATAAAAAGGAAATGCTGGCAGCAACATGAAGAATGAATTGATGAATTAAAAGTAGAAACAGACAAACAGTATGAGGCTACTAGAGTTTTCAGATGAGATATGCTATGGCCCAGTTATATAAGAGGAAGAATTAGTAGAGCTTTAGTGACTGATTGGATGAGAGTGAGAGGTTGAGGAATGGGTCAAAGTTAATTCATAGGTTTCTGACATAATGAGGAATACAGAAGGAGAACCATGTTGAAATGGAAAAAAAATTAGTTAAGCTTTGGATAGGCTGAATTTGAGGTGTTTTGGGGCAACCAAGTGAAAATGTTCTGTAGTTATATGGATATAAATTTCAAGAGAGAGGCAGATGTAGATGAGGTCATCCAAGGCAAGGTTACAGACTACAACAAGTAGGAGACAAACTGAAGGTGCAACCCTAGGAATACCAATACATGACACAGCACATATAAAGTATTTAGAGCAAGACCTGACCCGTACTGAGCATTGATGTGCCTGGCTTGAGGCTGTATCCAACTCTCTAGAAAGGAAAGGAAGGAGGAGGGAAGAATAGAATGGACAACCCCTTGATTACTCTACTTCCCATACTGCCCCATTTCCAACATGTGGGGACCCTGACCTGATTCAAGAGCTAATTAGAGCTCTTAACTAAATGGGAGAGGGATGATGCACTCAGAGCTTGGTGATTGTTCTGGACTTTGCCAGGAGTCAGCAGTCAGCAAAGCATAACCAGAGAAAGAGAGAGAAGGGGRGGGCCTCAGGAGCTAGCCAAAGGGGCTGCTGGGCTGGCTTGTGCTATGTTGGRGCCTTTGTCCTACTGAAAATGTCCACACAATGGAGCTGGGTTACATGCTGACCTGGCATTCTGAATATGGGGCTGGGATAGAGATTCTACATGGTGGAAGCAGAGATGAGTAGTCACCTGGTTCCTGAGGACCATATCATTATTCACAAATATGAAATCACTAGAGAGGATGTTCAGTACATGATAATGAGAAATTATGTTTGTATGTGATTAATTCACAAATCGATTCCTCTATACTTTATTTAAGGCTGCTATCAATGTATGGATTGCTTGGGCATATCTCATTTAATCCTCATACAACCCTGCAAGATCAGTTAAGTAGTATGGCCTCTGCCTTGACCCTGGGTGCCTCTGTTTGACAGAAGCAATCATCATCAGATCATGCCCTTTGCTCATTGAGTCTGCAGTCAAAGGTCTCAAGAGGAAGACAGCTTGATAGGAGAGAGAAGTGCCAAGGCTGGAGAGAGTGAATGCCTG